TCGTAACCCGAGGTAAATTTTTGCGGCCGGAGCTGGTCGCAACCCGAAAAGTTCGTTAGCAGAGGCGTTCGTAACCCGAGGTACCACTGTACATTGTTATAATAGGTAAAAAGGGAAACAGAAGCAATATTTTACTTAGCCGCTACTTAGGTATATTGTGCCTTTTAACATTAGAGGAAATAAATGTCCATAGACACCTATTTCTGTTTTTAGGTTGAAGCTCTGCATGATTTTGAGGCAGCCAATAGTGATGAACTGACCTTGCAACGGGGAGATATTGTACTGGTAATCCCATCAGCAGCAGAAGCAGATCAGGTAACAGCAGAGGGGCTTTTCTTGTACTAACAGTTTTTAAGTAAATTTGCTTTTTACTTAAACTGAAATGCTTTCAGCAACGTTTTCATTCACAAGAGTGAATGAAAGTTTAGAAGGGTTATGTGGTGAAAGAACAAAGTAGCTTAAAATTACCGAAGGCCAACTGCAAAAGCTGATCATTTTGGCTCATAACACTGATGGAGATGTGCATTGCTAAAAGTTTCTCTTTCTTAAAAAGGTTTCTAGAGATAATTTTTACATGCATAAACAGTACATATGAGCAGCTGTTATGGAAACTTAATTACAAAGCTAGAGTTTTCTTTTCCTTGCAGGAAGCAGGTTGGTTAACAGGCATTAAGGAACGTGACTGGCTTCAATACAAAGATGCATCCACATATAAGGGACTCTTCCCTGAAAACTTCACCTGCCGTTTTGAGTAACTCCCAGGTCCAGAGGCAAGACCATCTTGTAGGAAGCTCAGTCCCTACATTGTGAACCTCTCCAACATACAGGAGTCTATAGTTGAGCCAACATGGTTTACAGACTGATTCCAGACAAAACTCGGCTGAAGCATATCAAATGAGCATGACTGCAAGAAATTAAAGCTAGCATATTCTGAAGCAGTATGTGGAAAAAAGTACTTATTTGTTCACATATACACGGCAACAGGTTTGTTTGTACTTTGTCAGAGCTATGGTGATCCTGTAACTTGATCTTTCCCCATGCAAATATGAGTAGCCTCCTCAATACCAAAACCTTAACTTTTCTGCACTAACTGTATTGTATTGAGTTGCTGCACTGCAGAAGACTTCATTAGTAATCCTGTAGTACTGAAGTCAAACTATTCTAATTTCAATGTGTTTGGAAAAAAAAATCTGCCACAAAGTTTTTCCATGTTATTTTCTTACATATATACGTACATATACACACAGAGAGATGCCTATGTGTTGTATGCATATATAACACATAAAAACCCTAGGAAACCAACCTGCAGCAAAGTTATTGGTGACAAACATTTGAACCAAAATTGGACAAAACCTGGAGAACGTGTAGAATTGTTCAGCTTAGGAGATTAACAGGAGCCTTTTACAGAAGGAGTGTAATGTGCATTAGAGTCACCTTATCATTCTTCGCCCTTGGTTTGTGGCACACTTGTCAGAAGGTTGGCTACCACTGATTTTATGCATTAGCAAATACCTTATCTACTTAATAGTCATTCTTTCATGTAGAATTGTTCATTCAGATGTTTGCTCTTATTGTCAGGTATTACAGTAAAGAATTCTGTTACAAGAGGAAAATAGCTGCTCCATTATCAAAATATTAAGTAGTAAAATCTGCACTTGTAATGCAAAATTATCATTCCAAAGGATTACAGAAAAGTTACCAAACTCACTTTCAAAGCTGCTAAAACACAATAGAAGGCATGGATCAGTCACCTCTTTACTTTATCAACTACTACAGCTAAGGATGAAATTATTCTGATGAGACTATAGTAGTAGTTTTTGTATTTTTAAAGTGGCTGGATGAATAAATACATTTCTGATTTAAGGGAAGATGAATTAAGACAGTATATTTTCACAATATGTATTTATGCAACATACTTTCAACAATCCCCCCAAATATCATGTATTGTGTATCAAAAAGTCATCTGTAACTATTATGTTTTTCAGTGTTGCGTCATTTAAAATAAATCTATGATCAACTCCACAAGCTCAATTTTTATATATGCTCTAGTACATATATCAAACGACATCTTTTAAATTCTTCTTTGACACATCCTGCTGGCAATAAACTAAATTACTGCTGTCCACCATACAGGGTTCACTATAACAAGGCACTAAATCTATGGTTCAGTAAGCAGGAATGAAATGCTACCCCAGATGAGCATGTGCTGAGTGGCTAACCTTGCAATCTTGTCATTGCTATAGCTTGTCTTTTATCAAGCCTCACTGAAATTAATTTCTACCCAAGATCTATTTCATTGCATTAATGAATGGGGTTGTAGAGACCAAAAACTAATACATATCTACTCAAAAGGCCAATAAAGATGGAATTATTACTAGATGGATTGCAATGTTAACCTAAAAGGTTCTATTTTGTGCCTGTGACTGGAGAGTCTACTGTAAGAAGTTCCTATTGGAGAACTAATGCAAGCAGTGTATTTGACTTAGAGGTATTAGCACCATTTTTCTTAAAAGTTATTTCAGGAATTATGGATTTTACTGTCCATTCTAACAAGTAGAAACTTAAAACTAAAATATTTGGGGAAATTTTCAACCAAAGTTTGAAATAACATTGCAAAGCCATGCAAAAATAGTTGGTCATAACCTAAATCACTTTATAGTCTGACACCTCTAAGAACTTTCTATTCCAAACAGAAATGACCCATCCAATATATTCAACCAGCTGATAGATGTTTAGTGTCCCATTCCTAAATGAGATCAGAACAAGAGAAGCAAGGACATGCTACTTCTCAGTATATGCTCCTGTGCTTCTACTAGCACCTCTTGGACAATTTTCTGGAGGGCCTTAAACACTAAATTCTTTGCAAAACTTTTAACTGTTGAGGAGGAGGAGATTGCTGGGTTTAGGTGGGGTGGGGCTATTTTGTGTTTGTATTTTATAAACCGCCAGGAGTCTTCAGAAGTCAGTGGTGTACAAACATTGTTAATAAATAAATTGTAAATTACATATTAAATATGTAATCTTACATATTCAGCTGAAGCCTCTCTGTATGCAGACAATGTGCATGCAATAAGATCAGATATGAGCAACCATGTTTCTTTTAATCGCATATAAAATACTGTGAATTATGGACACTATTATAAAGTGTATATAAAACATGTTCAAAAGTAACACTTCCCAATTCTTACAATCTAGAAGTAACCCTGATTTTCACTTTCTGTTAAGTAGTATGGTATCAAAACCTTACATACAGTTAGTTGGAGTCAGGTGGCATCAAAATTGAACAGATAAAAATAAAATAAAAATAAAAGTATTGATTTAAAGTTAAAGGACATAAGGCCTTCTTCACAGAATTGAGAATTTATAGAGACCTATGATATCACATTTTATTAATGTGTTCCTTTAATATACAAAGAGTGTGTACTTGATTTAAAAAAAGATATATTGTTAAAAATAAAATTTAAAATTAATGACACAAATTATAGCAAATCTAAATTCTTATTAGCTGATCACTGTAAAGTGGTAAGACCTACCAGTTAGATTCCCAAGCATATCTCAGTAGTTAGGTATTTCAAACTTAATTTAATACGTTATGGGCAAGTACTTCTTCATATTATACATTATAAACCAACCTGCAGCAAAGTTATTGGTGACAAACATTTGAACC